TAACCAAGTGAGGCCTGATAAAGTTTTGGGGATGACACTTTTTGGCAACGGATAACACTTCTCTTCTTGAGTCTGAAACCCATTGGAATTTGGAGCCAGGCTGCCTGGGTTCGAGGAAAGACTGGGCCACTTGCCTTAGGAAAATCCCTTACACTTTTTGTTCCTCAGTTGCCTCATCTTTAAAATGGGATAGCAATACGCACCTCCAAGTGTAACGCATGTGAACAGTGCCTTGTTCATAATAAGTGTTCTGTGTTAGCTATTAGCTCTTAATTGAGATATAGGCACAGGAGTTCCCTGGAAGATAAAAGACCACTGCCGGCTGACACTGATAAAGCAGGATTGAGATTGTGGCTTTATATCTGCAGACAAGAGGGTGTGCTAGTAACTCTGCCCCTGCTCTGCTTACCGAGCTAGTCATTGTCCTCGCTCTACAGCTATAGACCTTCTCTGTAGGAACTGCTTGCTTTCTTGTTCGGCAAGAATGTGAACATCAGTAGACAGGATGGCTCCAGAAAGTGAGAAACTCGGAAGGGGGCAAGTAGAAGATGTTCGGTTCCTTCTTTGAAACTTACTGAATCAAACAATGCACTCCTCCTATGGTGAGGGGTGAGAGAGACAGGAGTATCCTTCCAGTGGAGCTCTCTTCCCATGGAGATCTGAGACGAGAAATGAAGGTTCACCCTCTAAGGAGGACACTAAGAAAAAAACCCTACCATTGTGAACACCATCACTTCATACCCCAAAATAGAATGAAGCAAAATCCGTTAATGAAATTACCTTTCTACCACATTGCCCTTGTTTTTTACAGGCCTGTGAAGTTTCCTTAGGGTCTGGCTGGCATTGGTTCCTGGCCTAGCCTTTGGGAGCCGTCGAGCTGGATGACTTTTAAGATCCTTCTAACCATGAGATGCTATAATTATATGATAGAATTTCACTTGCACCTGGTCAGCAGGAGAGAACCAAGGGACTGAACCTGGGTCAGAGGACAGGCAGGTCCTGAAAATGTGTTTGTGGAAGGGTTGGCAGTGAGGCCCAGAGCAGGGTATTTTTTTCTCCTTGGAATTGTTAATCATATCTCCCTCCTGTCAATAAAAAGAAGAATTTATCTACAAAGGCCAGAGGGTTGTTGTGAGGAGAACCTGATATTGAACCTCTGTGCCCAATTCGGGGCTTAGGGATTTCCATCGCCAGCATGTGCACCGTGACAGTTGGAAGCAAAGACAGCTCTGTCAGCTTCAGCATCTCTCTCAGTAATAACATTTCAAATGCATTTATTTCTTTGTCTTAGTATTTTATTACTAGCTTGTTGTTCTCATCGCACATGTGGTCCCACTTCTCCCTCCCCTTGTGAACTTACGAAGCTACATTGCAGCAAATTGAAATAGAAAAACCACATATCTAGGGTGATTTATGGTTAATGTGAATTTCTATCCTAACCTGAAAGTTGAAGAGCAGGAATCCCAAGCTATTTCAAAATTCATATTACAAGACAGACAATCAGATGCCCCCAAACCACAACATCTTGTACTCTATTAATCGTACACTGACAGAGCCCTTTGGTTGCATTTGTATTTCCAAATAAATACAAACATATGTCACCATTTTTTATTGATTTTGGACTTTTCTGGGAAGGAAACGCTGTTAAATTATAATAAATGGTGTCAACTAAAACAAATAGTGCAAAACCCATTAAGAAGGCATTTGTTGCAGAACTTGGTTTGATTTGTTGGCGTCAGTTGAAATCATGTCAAAATAATGTCTTCGGAAACCAAATAAAAATTTGTTTGCAAATTTGTCTGCAGCCAGCATTTCTAGAGCATAAAAATCCTTAAGAATCAATATGGTTTTATTCAGTATGCAAATGTACTGAAAAGCATTACAGCAAAAATTTCATTGCTGAATTATATTATAGTGTTAGTGAATTAATAAATAATAATAGGTAATAAATAATATAGTGACTGAATTAGATAATACATTTATGAAGAAGCAGAGGAGGAAAAGATTAAGGGGGATAGTCTTGGGAGAAGATCAATTTTCAGATAAACTAAACTAACATTTTATATTCCGAGAATTAATGGAGTTTAGTCCTGTAACTCGCTAAGTCCAGTTAAACCAAATTTCAATGCAGCCTTCAAAAAGGAAAGGGACTGCAAGGTGCCTAGTTCTGGAGTGATAACCATTTGGGTTCTAAGATTAGCCAGCCTGCATCTATAATTTGCATAACTGTGTTTGCCTTCCAGGTAATTGGAAATTTAATTGCTATCAGAATAAAATTGGAGTTTTATTTCCAAATGATGCTAGGGCAGTGTATCCCAGTGTGCAGTTTTGAGAGTGACTGTGTCAGGCAAACGAGAGGGATGCAGTTACAATTGGGGTTCAATATAAAATCCAAAAGAGTTCATCTTCTGTATACGCCAGGTCCTCTTCTGCAACTACTTCTTTCTCCTTTCACTGCCTTCAAGGGCACAGTTCTCCAAAAACCACCTCACCTGTGGTGTCTGAGCTGAGTCTGTCACTCTTGGCCCTCTGTGTCCTCTTTGTACTGGAACAGATCTCATTCCTGGGGTGTTTAAAGGAGAAACTTTGATAAACTAGTTACTGTCTTTATACCTTAGATGGTTTATTTTTATTTCGTCAAAGTAAAAACAAAACAAAAATGGGCTGAATCTCAACCACCAGCTACGATCACCACAGTTTCATAAAAGAAAGGACACTTGGGTGCCCCTCCCCCACAATGAAAGTAGGAAAGATATAATCAAAGAGTAAAGGACAGTTCGTTTAACTGAAAAACCTTTATGACAAACTCTCACTACACTGATGTTATTTTTGTAATTTTGGAAAACACCAGTGAGGCTTCAGCGAAGCCCAGTCCTATTTTGTAAGCTGGTGTTTGAAACCTGTTCTTTTAAACTGATCACCTTGCTGTGATGTTCAGGAGGGAGGGCTGTGGTTCTTGACACTGGTTTCCTGTGGTGGAGTGAAGTATGGTATTGAAACAAAGCAGCAAGAGGCTCTGGGGCTCATCTTAGGGACTGGACAGTAACCGAGGGCCCTGGGTCAAGTAGGAAGAATGCATGGAGTACAGGAAAGGCAAAGGACACCTGATCAGTGACGAAGGGTGACACGGGCTCACCAGGCCTTTACAAACTTGACTACTCAAGGGGAAATGCCTGTAGGTTTTTTCCCGGCCATTATAAAACTCCTTGACATGGATGGTTGGAATTGTAGGGCTTCGTATGGTGAGGCTGGCCTTTCGCTGTTCACATCACATTTGCAGCCAGCTTCCTCGCTGCAATGATTGGATGCTGCAATTCCCCTGCCCCTGTGAGGCACCGCTGATATTACCCCATTCCAGGTTGACAAGACAGCATTTGAAAATGTATCTGAATTTTGCAAAGTGTTCTGTAAGCAAAATCTTTTAGGCTCAGGGAGAGAGAAGTTGTTAAATTATGCATATATTATATCTACATTATATACTTGTATGTTACTGTGTATTCCAACTTCCAATACAGATCACACCAGTTTCTTTTTTCTGTTTTTCTTTGCACAAAAAAAAAAAGGACTGAAAGAGCTAAATCAAAGCTTGAACTAAGTGCTGTCAGGGTTCTAGCTTTGGGGGTTGTTAGAAGCATGGAGAGGAAAAATCCAACAGAACAATGCCCTGTAGTTGGTTGTGAGGTGAAACCTAGAGACCATCAGAGGGAGTACTTTAGCTGCTGTGAAAGGGCTCAGAGGGAGACAGATAATAAATGTACAACAAACAATCCAATGTCAGAAATGATCACTATTGCAAAATGAGACTGAGAGCTTTTTTTTTTTTCTTTGCAATTTCTACAGATGAAATCCCAACTCTGGCCACGGCCAATATTAGCTGGATAATTCTTTGAATCTGGCTAATGTGGAATCTTGCCAAGGACAAAGAGGATTTGCTCACTAACCGGTAAGACAGGTACTGGTCATGCATGCTTCAATGTGCTAACAGTTCTGGTCTTTAATGGTACCGATTTAATGATGATATTATGCCTTTTCAATAGTTTGCCTATGATTTGACATTAGCCATGCCTTTCTGGTGAATGTGAAGATGCGTTGGCCAGCACATTAGCTGAAACCCTGATTGTTAAATTGTCAGTTCCTCCCACATTTCCCTGGCCTTTGCCTTCCCTAGTGCCTTGGTACTCTATTGACAGGCCCCACTCGAATCCCACACCACTCCCTACCCTATTCCCAAATCAATTTTTAAAATGCCAAAAAAGATACCAGCAAACTCAGACCTTTTTAATGGAGCATGACACATAGAAGTGAGCTTTATGCATTCATTCCACCCCCCAATTGCATTGCTCCCCACCCTTTTTTCTAGGTGACTTTTGCTTTAATATCTCGGTGTACAATAATTCTGCCTTGTGTACCTCTGGGGGCTGTGTACCCACCCTGAACCTTGCCTACCTCCTGCCAAGCTTCTCTCCCTAGACTCTGCCCCAGTCCACTCCATGTTACCCTCTAAACTGGCAAGATATGGATAAGTCATGATGATGACAGACACTATGATTGGCTTCTGGGTTGGAACCTTTCTAGAAATTTCTTGTTGCTGGTTTGTACCTCATCCCTCTGATCACTATTTGAAGCTATGGATGCTGCTCTGGAAATGCCAACTGCCTTGGCTGAGGCCAGCCTCTGCATTCTGGTCAGGTTCCCTCAGCACCCATTCTTGTCAATGGGTCTGTTGCTTGGTCCAATTTCCTCTCCCATCATACTTTGCGGTTTAATCCATCTCTGATTTGTCTTTGCAGATGATGTTATAGGTACTGCAAAAAGCTCTGCCCCCCAAATCTCCATCAGTGATACCTGAAATTTATTGCTATTAAAAATTCAGCTCTTTGAGATAGGGGGTTATGCCTATAGCAGGCACCTGTAAAAATGCATACATTCCATGGGTCTTAGTGAGAGTAGGCTAGGCTAGGTTATGGTGATGATCCAACCCAAATATGTAATGTCTCGATGTAATAGTTTATTTCTTGCTCACATAGCAGCAGTCTGTGTGTTTTCAGGCCAGCAAGATGGTTCTCTTCTGCACAGTCATTTAGATATTTGGATTTTCCCCATCTTGTGGCTCCTCAATTCCTTAGGGCCTCATTGGCATCTACCCAGCTGGTGAAGAGCAGAGTGAACCTGGCGAGTCTAACCCTTTTCTTGAAAAGCCATACCTTTTCTCTGGAGGTGGTTCCTAGAACTTATTATCACATGGCGTTGGTCAGAATTTAATCACATGACCTCATCTAACTTTAAGGGAAGCTGAGGATTGTAGTCTAGTCATGTTACAGGGCAGGGTGGGGGAGGAGCATAGATTTTGGAGGACAGCTAATGGCCTCTGCCATACCAAATAAGGATGACACACTAATTCATTTTCAGCCTTTGATACCTTAACACAGTTTTGTTCATTAAATTGCTAATACTTTAGGAAGCAGGTTACAAAAGATTAGGATATAGGCTGTTAGGGGAGTAAACAGGGGGGCATTAGAGGAATGTATTGCCAACGTATAGGTAAGTGATGAGAAAAGTCATGTTTCTTTGAGGTGACACATTTTGGGGGACAGGACCCTTAGAAAGCTGGGGGTCAATATGAGGGTATGGGGAATAGGAGAGACAGAGGACTGGAAACAACATAAAGATGGAAAGGATATCTCAGTTTTGTTTCAGGTTAGACCTGGTCCTAATTTAAATCTACATTTAAAATGCTTGCTAAGTGAGAGTCTTCAAAATGTGAATAATCCAGTTTTGTGCCTATTTCTGCCAGTCATGTGTCTTTGTCAGGGAGTGGGAGCAAAGTACTTCCAAGGCCCTGGTTCTCAGTGTGCTCCACCAGGTTCTTGTTTCTAATAAGATTTTTCAACTTAGTACCAAACGGGAAGAATCAAAATCCCATCAATTTCATCAACCTTCGGTCTTTGCTCAGGTCACAATGAAGCAACAGCTTTCTCACAGCTATCCATTTGGTGTCAGGCTGACCACTGGGAGCCTTATTATATATGAGGCAAAATCTTTTCATAAAAGATTGGGTTCTGTTTCCTGTTGGACTGACCTCTATTTCATTTATGTCATCCCTTCCTCCACAGCCTTACAAACTGTGAGAGATTGACCCATGCTGGCGACATACCGACATATCCTTAACCACCTGGGCTGGAGCATGAGTTGATTCAGCAGGAAACAGGGAGGTGAATGGGAGGTTGAAAGTTGCCAAGCAGTGAGCTGCAGCTGTGATCTACAGAGCTGTTAATGGAGCCGAATCTGATTTGTGTTTAGCTGAAAGCACTTTGCAAAGGCAGACAGGAGGCAAAGGTCTGGAGATGTAGAGGCATCGATAACCATAGCTTTTGCTTTTTTAGCTTGTGTCCTGGATATTTTCAACGAAAACAATCATTAAAGGTGGAGAGTCATGAGCAGTCAACCCATTCCCGATAAATAGATTTCTAAGGGTCTTAGGGCGTTGTTAGTGGTAGATGGTTATCCAAGTAATGTTATGTGAGAGTGCTCCAGGATATCCTTTTCATGCAGTGCCTTAAACCTACCATTAAAGATCATGCTTTTAAGAGCTCTTAAAGCAATTTTAATAAACCAAGTTTATTTAATAAACACTTACGTAGCCCTTACTATATGCTGGGCACTGTCTGAGGGGCCTCATAGATATTAACACACACATTCCTTGTAGGCATCCTATGAGGTAGGTACTATTTCTAGTGTTGTTATTTCATAGATGAAACAGAAAGTGGCCAAAACCCACACAGCTAGCAAATGGTAGAGTCAGGATTGCAAACCCAGGCAGTCTAGCACAGTACTGTGCTACAGGGTGTTACATTTATGTGGGGGATGTGTCACTCATTCCAGCAGATATTTGTTTACCCGATCATACTCCCATCCCTTAATACCTAATAGAGAGCAGGACTATGAATGTTTTGAATGGAAATAGCATAAGAGGCCCTGATAAGATTGTTCGGGGAAAGGGGATGTCAGGATGAGGGTCTTGTTAAAGGGCTAGATCCCCCAGCGATTATGTTCCCTAAACATGCACCATCCAAGCAAGGAACAGTGCTTTCATCGCTAGTCTTCTGCTTTGTATGAATTTGATTCCAGTGATTAGCATTTTCAGTCTCATCTCTTATTTTTATTTTATTATTTTATTTTATTTTATTAGTATACTCAGGTGTTGTATAGGCTGGACATGAAACAAGTGGACTCCCACTCACACAGGGAACAAAGAATGGTTTGGGCTGAATGGGATGCCATTGGTGACCATCTTCAAACTGGTTTCCAGTTCTGTATTCCGAGTCAGTGCAGCTTGCTCCCCCAGGACAGGATTATTTCCCCTTAGCTAGCTTCCCCATGGGTAATTTGGCACTGGCTGCCGCTCTCTTATCACTCGAGGCTCCCGTTAGCTTTTCCCCATCCTGCTTCTTCCTTACACTCTATTGGCACCACACTGCAAGAGGAAACTGCTATCTTTCTGGAATGTTTTCACCTGGTAGCACATAGCCCATGACTTTCAGTCTATAGCTGGCTCTTTTACAGGCTTCTTCTGCAGCTCTTCAAATCTTCAATTTTCTGTATTAAATTTCTATGGCTCACTTAATATTCCAGGGAATATCTGATGGAAAAGGGAGCGGTGATGATTTTGGTATGTGTCACCCCACCAGTCCTTGTCCCTGGAACAATTTTCCCAGCCAGACACTATAAGTTAGTCGGTCAGTAGAAATCCAAGTGCCTACTATGCACAGGATGCTAAATATGCCACTGCATGCCGCAGGCACTCTGAGCTGACCTCGCTAGACCATTATACTCTCTGCTCTGAGAGAAAGAAAAGCTATCTTGACTGACAGACTTTCCTTTCCCTGTGTGTAGCTGGGGATTCAGCTCTTACACTTTGGTGCTGAGCTCGTTGTCTTCATAATTAATGCTAAAAAGAGCAGATTTGGAAAGAACAAGGGAACGAGAGGCTAAATCTCCAGAGGGAGCCTTAGAAGTGGACTCTGGTGCATTTTCCCCCCACACCGTTAATCCCCCCTGGTCACGCGTGGGGAATACAAATGCTCTTCTCAGGCCCGCCAGTTCAATTTCACCATAACACAATTGACCTACTGCCACCGCGAGGAGCAAAGCCTTGAACAAAGCAGCTGCTGAAAGGACTTTGTCAAGCTGGACATGAATTATTAATATGGCTCCGAAAGGGAACGGCATCGGAAACCAGGCTTTTTATTATTTACATTAATGAGCTGCAAGAACGAGGTAGTGAAGAAAATCCCAAGTTTGGAGAAGGCTGTATTTTGAAGTGCAACAACGAGCGTAAAAACAATGAAATCCAACAAATGTAAATGCAAACGAATAGACCTCTGAACAAAAAGCCCAGACAGGGAATATTTTCCGAGCAGGAAAGGGCTAAAGCAGGGTGTCAAGTCATTACTGAAATTCCCTACTGTCAGTTTGCTGGAGAATGAAGCTCAGGCTTAGGAAGGCAGAAAAAAATGCCCAGATTGCCTGCTGGACAGACACAATACAAAGCGCCTATCAAAGGAAGTAGCCTTATCTCTCTTAGAGATGTGTGCTCAGTACAATATGCTGTTCATCTCTTATCTGGGTTGGATGGTAAATTATTCTAATACAATGTCATATCCCACTCCTCAGAGAGATTCCGAATCTTCACAGCGTGATTGGCAGAGGCGCGCATGGGTGTGCAGGCTTCCTGTGCAATTCTAATGCCAGCTGCTTTGCTTTTACTACACACAGAGCCCTCTTTCCCACCAGTAACCTCCCTCCCTTCATCAGAAATGGGATCTTTAACCCTCTCTTTCTTCACCAGCCATGTATTCGAAAAATTTTCCCCTATAAGCTCCAGACCGGCAATGCCAGAATTGAGAGATGAGGTAACATGGTGCCCCATTCAATTAGAACCTT